AAAAAAAAAAGCAAAAAAAAAAAAAAAAAAAAAAAAAAAAAAAGAAATGCACAAAGGAACCAGGAAATCAATAATAGTATTCCAAAATGGAGATTTCACTTATAATGTGAAAATAATGCCCATTGACATGTTTCAAAATTAGGATACTGAATGTCAACTTTTCTTGAAGTGGTGAGAGATACATGTGTTATGTGGCCATTTTGGAAAGAAGAACATGTCCTCGAAGTCTTTGTTCACCAGCTTCAACCTTGTCATCAGCGCTCTATTTGATCCCACTATAGCAGCTGGCAGTAGGCGGGGCTACAGTTCTCCAGCTGAACCCTGTGACCTGAGATGGTCAGCATGGAGCACACATGTGTGTTCTTCATGAGACACTCTGCAGTGGGGAAGCCATCGGGTGCAGATCACAATTGAGAAAACCCTCTGAAAGCACAAGAGATTTGAGGGGAAAACACCTCTTATAAAACACATAAAGAGGAATGTCTGGATTTGTCTTCTGTCATTTTACAGGAAAAGAGAAGAGGCAATGGCCTGCTCTTCTGTGAGCACATGGTTGGAATTCTTATACAATTATGCTTTGGGGGTCTGAAGAAAGCAGCCTCATATTTCAGGCTTTACATAAACTGCTAGGATAAGCCCTTGCAGATGAGTAGAATTGCCTTTGGAGAACTCCCCAGTGAGGAGCTTGAGTCAGGTCAGCTCATCAAAATGCTTGTGAGTGAAAATGCATCGCTGACCCCTCCGCTGTTCATGCAGTAGGGTTATTACATGTTATATCAACTTTGCCCGGAAGCACAAGATACCTTTTAATAAAAATACCTGGTATGCACTGCACTGTCTCTCCCCAAATTTATATGTTAAAGCTGTAACTGCCAGCACCTCAGAATGTGACTGTATTTGGAAATAGGGTGTTTAAAAAGCTAATTAAGTGAAAATGGAGCCATTAGGGTGAGTTCTAATCCAATATAACTGGTGTCCTTATAAGAAGAAGAAATTGTGATGTGCAGAGAGACACCAGGGATGTGCGTGCACAGAGGAAAGACCACGTGAGCGTCCAGTGAGAAAGCAGATATTTACAAGCCAAGGAGACTGGCCTCGGGAGAAACCAAACCTGCCAACACCTTCATCTCAGATTTTCAGCTCCCAGAACTGCCAGAAAAGAAATTTCTGCTGTTCAAACCACCCAGTCTGTGGTATTTATTACAGCAGTCCTAGCAAACTCCAGCGGCCTTTGGAAGCCTCCTGTGTCATGACATGGAGATGGAGGAACAGCCACTCAGGGCTTCTATTGCCTACTCTTTTTGTTTGTCTCCGTATACATTTCTTCTTTTTTCCTTTTCACCTTTCTTCCAACTTCTCTTTCTACCTACACTTTAACTCCAGGAAGAAATCCATGTGAGAGGTGCAATTTTCAGGGTTTATTTGAAGGAGGAAGGAAGAAGAATGTCCCATGAATACGCTTCCATTCCCGGCCTCTCCTCTTACCCCCTCTCCATTCCAACCAGGTCTGGGAAGGGTGCATATACCCAGAAAAGTTGAGAAAAAGCACTAGATTTTCTAGTTATATTTATTTTGGATCAGATCCTTTCTAATTTCTATATTTGTGAACATTTTATAATTTCACAGGGCATATGATTGAAATATTTTGGAAAACATTTTAATCATTCACGGTAACATGAAATATGCTGCCTTTGATTCTCTATAAAATTACTTAATTTGGGGTGTCTAAATCTCTTATTTTGAAGATGAACAAGAAAACAAAGCTTCTCAGAAAAAATAACACTTATAAATTGAGAGTAGACATTCTATTTGTCTTCAAGATGGAAATAATAACACCTTTCCCATGAGAGATGTATACAGAAATAATTAGATCATCTTTGTACAGTGTTTGAGAATGTTTCAGGGTAATGATGATCATGGTAGATATCATTATTTCCCTGCATTTAAGATTGTTACTGTGTTTCTCCATCATTATTTAATTTCACTGTTTACTCAACATGCTGGATCCTAAGGTTGCATTCTAGGTTTTTAAAAACAAAATTTAATTTTGTCCTCTCAAATTACCTTCATGATCAGTTAATGCAAAATAAGAGTGTGTGTGTGTGTTGGGGGAGGGGAGTGGGTTCTTTCTGTAGGCTTCCAGTATCACAAAGAATCGTAAATGTTTTAATGCATAAGTCTGGAATGGGAGGGCCATCTGTTTTTATAGCATTTGAAAGAAAAAGTGGCCTCCCATCCTTTTCTCTGGGATCTCACTGCTCTTTATAAATTTTAATCTCCAACTCAGACATCATTTAAATATTAAAAATGACTGCCGACTGTCATGCATGATGCACAATTACCCTGTCTTGGGAAAGGACAAAGAAATATTATGTTCATCTATCACCATCTGGACTATACTTAAAAGTCTGTTCTTTGTGAAGAGCAGTGGAACATTAAAAAAAAAAAAAATCCTAGGAGCATCTTTTATGTGACAGCAAAGATGATGGTAGTATGCCAGTTCTGCGGCTCTGTATGTTTACAAGCCTAGGGTTCCTGGAGGCTATGTGATTCTTTCAAGTCCCTTCTCTGTGTTACAAAAGAAAGAAAGATGGGTTGGTGGGTTTGCTTTTATAGGATCCTAAGTAAATTTCCCTTAACTCAGAATCATTCTTTTCAGCTAATGGAAAATACCATCTGTTATTAATCCTTTCTATTGCCTTTTAAATTGCTTCCTTGATACACATTGGACTTCCTGAATATAACTACAAAAATAACCAAATCATTAAAAATGCAGATAGTGCACAGGGTGTCACTTCAGCTATTGATGTAGTAGTACCTGCATCGTTCCTGCTCAGAAGCATGAGACCAAGGGTATCATCAGCATGACTGACCATGAAAGGCAAACCCCTGGGCTTGGCACGTATCTTATAAACAGTTATTTCTTTACATCTCTCTCAACCTGCTCAGGGCTTGGATTCAG